AGATTTCAAAAGTCTTTAGCCAGAAGATGGTCAAGAACAAAGGCACCTAGTAATGACACAGGTGGGGAAGAGGCTCACTTTGCACCCACAGTACTGCTGAGAACTACCCTGGTGCTCAATATCTGGTGGGAATCAAAGTTACAACGCCCGTCCTCACCTGAGAGCACACAACAGCTGGGGGATCGGCCACAGCTGAGCAGGAGGGGCCATGAGCACACTGGGAGGTGCTGAGCGAGTGGGTAACTTCTAACCCCGGGGACCTGCTGGAAAGGCAGCTGGGGTTGGCTTCAGGGAGGGAGTGGATGTGGGAGCTCTTCAGTGGGGGCTGCTTCCCAGCATCCGTTTTCGTTTTGTGGAAGATTTCTGGGGGGTCAATCATGTGTTGCTGTTGGGTCCTAGTAGCCTTGGGCTGCTTGTCACAGCTGCGTGCAGGTAAGAAGCATTTAGCTGCAGTTGCTACTTTTTTGTTGTTGTTGTTGCTTCCCTCTTTGTCTCTCTTCCATTCCTATTCCTCTTAGTTTTAGTTTTTTGTTGTTTTATTTCAGGTTTTAGCTCTCTGCTCCGGAATCTGTGATGGGAAGGAAGTTTAGGGCTTGTATTTATTAGCACACATGTTTTGCTGAAGATGATTAAAGTGTCTCTACCTCAGCTAGGCGGGGAAGGAGGAGAGGCTGCTGAATCTGGTTTTAGTTCATCTTCTGCAGGAGACTGAAGATGGCATGATCTCGTGTGGGGAAGAGGGAAGTGTCTGACCTAAACTTTATTCCAATAACACTGTTTTCAGTGCCTCTCCCAGACCCTTTTCCTTTTGGCAAGGCTTTGCTAAATCTCTCGTTGTGTATGCCAACAAGTCTGGTCTTAAAAACCTTAGTAAGACTCTTCACTGCTAAAGGATCCAAGAAATGATTGTCCCGCTCCTGGTGCTGCCTCTGGAGGGAGGAGGCTACTGGCAGGACCCTAAAGGCAGAGGCTAAATTTCCCCTCTAATGAGGCTTTGGCTTTGTCCTTCGGAGGTGACGTGACCTGCACGTCTGAGGAGCAACATCTCTTACCTCTCTTCCTAAATCCTTGTGTCCCCCCTTCTGCACTAAAGCAAAAGCCTTAGTTCTCAAACTTTCACAGAGGTGGTCGTCTGTTTCCTGCTTAGCTGCAGTTCACACCCCCCTTTTAATGCTTTAATGTTGATTGTTAGCGCTGCTGGACCCCCGCTTTGGAGTCAGAGTTTGCAGGGGAAGAGCAGAAAGATTTTTTCATTTGGTTCTTTAGGAATTTTATCTTCCAGATCAAAGCTTGAAGCCTCAGATTGCAGCCCCTCAGCTTGCTACAAACAATCCCACTCTTTCTACGGTTGCTCTAGAAAAACCTTTCTGTGTGTTTGACAGCTCACTGCACCCAAATAAATCTTACGTTATCTACCTGTACGCAATGAAGGAATTGGGTGAGTATCCAGCATAGCAACTCTCTGGAAGATAACTGCATGACATGCCCATCACATGCAACTCTTTACAGTTTGATGGGAGTGGGTCAGTACGGGATGCGGGGGGAAGTGAAAAATCTGTAGCCGTAAGCCAGGTACAAGCTGAGCCTCTGGCCTCAGTTTTCTCTAGAGTATTATTATAATATGAAATATAAACAACTGACTTATTGCAGTGGAGCTGATTAATGATAGCAAGTATTAGCTACACGCGTTTGCCCACATCGTGCTAAATGAAACCAAGTGGTCCGCAGTCCCGTACCTTCCCTTGGTCTAAACACAGAGGCCTCCTATAAAAGCCTTAATTCCACTAAGTAAACCTGCTGAGAGAAACTGGGTTAGCTGCTGCTCTTTGCTTCATAGTTAGGGTAGCCAGCCCCTGCAAGGACTAAACTATTGTGGGGTTTTTTTGGTAGACAAAGGCAAGTCATGCTAGGCTTGTGGTCAAAGATGCCTGGCCCCCGGGTTCATTCATAAAATTAATTTTACAACTGCTTGGCAGAGAAATGTTGCTGGCAGAGATCAAGAGCTACCGTTTCTGTTCCCTGCTGTTCTGCCAGGCTGCTTTGAATGCTGGCGAGTGCCATTCCTTAAGGTGACAGACATAAATTATGACCTTAAATTATGCCTTCTCCTGTGAAGCCTCCTTTTCCGAGGGGCACAGAGAAGAGATCTTGAGTGGTGGTGGGGGGCGGGGGCAGTAGTGAAATGGCCAACAGATGAAACCGTCTTAAAACTTCCATTGCTGATAATTGCAACTTTGGATGAGGTGGAAGGAAGAGGCCCTTGGTAGATGGAAGCTGGAGCCAGAGACACCATCACTTACAGCTAACACAGACAACAGTGAATATACGGCCTTTGAGACACTTTCCTTCACTGAAGCGCATATCTTTACACATCTAAAACAGATTATAAGTGCATTATAATTATGTAAAAGGCTACAGATACCTAGTTATACCTGCAACTATGCAAATATGATGCTTTGTGATAGAAATTACATCAGCCACTCCATCACCTCTAGAGTCTGTGGCAAAAGCTTCCTACGCAGATGGGTGAACCTCTACAAAAGGGGCTCTACACAGAGAAAGCTCTGCTGCTGCTTTGAAGGCAGGCAGATGCAAACTGGTTACACGGCAGACCGAGAGGAATTTTGTTTGGATTTGTTTCTGCTCTGCAGAGAAACACATTGGCTCACCCTTGGATGCCTCCTGGAGCAGGTTGAAGGAAAGTTTAAGAGAACTTTATTTTCTTAACACCTTATGTTCAGCTCTGCTGGTAAGGAAATATGTTAGCATACTACAGAGCTGAGGGGCTAGCAAAATTTCTCAAGAACTAATGGAATTTTAGCTCTATTAGTGTCACTATTAGACTTATCTGTCTACTCAGGTTAAAAAAACCCCACAACATCGCCCACCCTCCCCAATAAGAAAAATCAAACACACACACAAAACCAAACCAAAACCACCCACCAACAAATAAAAAAACCCCAAAACACAGACCAAACCAACTTAAGCACCCGCTCTTACTTCCTCACCAGAGCCAGGATAAGAGATACTGGAGACTGGAAGAGCAGGAAGACTCAGCTGTGAGAAGTACTAGAATCTAGGAATACAAGCCTAAGAGCAGAGCATGTCCTAGCGAGTATTTGCTTTCATGTTACTGGCTCCCGTTGAAGTGAGGGGTGTCTGAGCTCAGCTAACTTGAGCACTGACTCTTAGGCTCTATTTTTAACCTGTGCTAGAAACTTCTTCCTCCTAAATCAGGTTTAGTTTTGCATTAGATCATAGCTAAAAACCATCCCTTTTGAATCTTTTGGGGTAGAAGAGCAAGTTGCCAAGGAAATACAAGACGAAGGGAAAGGGCTGAGCTTGTTCTAACGGCCTTGTTAAAAAGCCTCTCTCCTGCAGCAAGTGCAGTAAGCTCCCTGGTGACCGACAACAACAGCAAAGCGCTCGACAGCACCTTCCATCAAACGAGTGGGGGGCAGCTCGGACCTTACAAGGCTGCCTTGTTCCATGTACCCAGCTGTGCATCGCTGCCCAAACTTGCTGACATAAGAGATGTCGACAAAGTTTCTGATGTCCTCAAGCAATACCTCTTCAGAGTCGGGGATGACGAGACTTGTTTGTATGACCCAAACTTCCAAGCTGTCTGTAACCCACCACTTGCAGCAGACACAACATACAGGTATAACTCTTCTTTCTCACAAGGTGCTCGCTGCCCTTAAAATGCAAGAGGAAGCAACGATGACTCTGCAATGTTCCTCTGTGGTGGTGGTACTCCCTAACCGAAATGTTCTGTCCCCCGGGTAGTTAGGAAGATGGCTTGGCTTTGGCCTAGCACCTTGAAGATGGTGCTCTGTGGTGCCCTGGCAGTGGGGCTGTAGCAGGTTAAATTCGTGGATCAGAAGGAGAATTGATGTGTGAACTGCTGGATCCATACCTCTGTGGGAGCAGGCAATCCAGTGACAGCATCTGATCAGGAACCGCTAGATTTCAACTGGGAAATTATGCTGAGAAAATTCACCAAGTAGTTTGTGGTAGATGGTTCTGCCAAATTGCAGACATGGATCTGGCTCTGCTTGCTCTGTTTTGACGGTGTCCTGGGGAGCCAAAGTTCTCCTTGGGCTCCACCTTAAAGAAGTCCCTCACGTTACTGGGGGATTCACAGGGAGGCCTAGGCAGCTTGCAGACCTGGCTGATCCCTGTTGTCTGGGGAAGCCGGCCACCTGGGGAGTTCGGGCACCCCGACAGCTCTTACGCAAAACGTTTGCTTTACTGCTGCTAGCCGTAGTAAAAATGACAGGCATGTGGAGCTGTATCTGCTGTGGAGACCTAACGTGCCTCTGAAACAAAATACTATGGACTCTTAGTTTTGGCAAAACTGTCTTGCCTCCTCTTTCTGAAAACTCAGACTGCTGTGGAATGGAAGCTTAACTTCTTGGCCAAATCTGATGTTGGGCTGTCTCTTCAGTACTCTCCTCTAGCAGGGAAAGGGCCACTGCAGGACCAAATCTTTGACTTCCACATGGAAATCAAAACCACTTGCTGTCCTAGATAACACATCTCCTAGCGACAGGGAATAGTGATCTGAGGAAAAACTGTTGCTGGAGAGCTACGACCTGCCAAACCCACGAGAACAAAGTGCAAACTTTGCGTCACAGAATCATAGAATGGCATAGGCTGGAAGGGACCTTAGAGATCTCTAGTCCAACCTCCCTGAGCACAGAATGCTTTTCCATGATTAATTCTATTTGCTCTTTACAAGGTCTCTGGAAACAGTCAGCTACCTTTGCCTGTCTCCATCTAATGCTTTGACAAATCCTGAAGTGTGACCAGCTGATCCAGTAGCTCAAAAATGTTACTCAGGAAGCTCCAATTTGAAACACCTAATTTAACCCTTTTTTCCCCACAGGTTTAAATATGTGTTGGTAGACAGCAAGGAAGGTATCGTGAAAGATCAAACTCTCTGGTCCGACCCAATCAGAACCAGAAGAGGTAAGTCTGGTTTTGCTCAAGTCTTCTGAGTAGCCTTCTTTGCCTTAGGACACTATCACTCTCTCAGCAACACCTAGTCCTCTTCTAAAGTTTTAACAATTTTGTCAGTCTATCGATACTGGAGTAGCAGACTTAAATATGGAAGAACTCTCTACTTATTTTGTGTACTTCAAAACAATTATGTTAGGAAAGGCAATGTTCATGTATGCGGTTTCAGATTTGATGCGTGTCATGGTATCTGGCACTGGTGACATCTCTCAGTAATATAGGTTCTTGTCATACTGGCTAACCTGCTGAGGGAAGCTTGTAAACTCTAAATGCTGACACTGAGTCTGAAACCTTTTCCATAAATCACCTGAGACTTCAGGTAGAGATGCAACCAGTTTGCAAGTCCCAATTTCCTGGCTTTCTCCTGCTTGGTGGGGGTGGTGTTCATGGTCAAAAATAGATCACAGGAACATTCTTTTCCGTGTTTTTGTAGCTAAACTTCCCTTGAAAATTGATACCTGGCCTGGTCGAAGGAGTGGAGACATGATTGTCATTGCATCAATTCTAAGTGTTCTTATGTTCCTCCTGCTTGCTGGCTTTCTTGCTTTTGTGTCCTCTGCTGTCACGTAAGTACTGCTGCACCTCACAACTTCCAGTGAGAGTACCTAAACTCGCAGTCATCAGCCTTTTCCCCTGTTACTCCAAGCCACTGTTGCTGGTCTTGTTTGAGATGAGAGACCAGATGGTGTCCTCCAAATGTCCAAGTTGGTAAGGAAAAGAGACTGCTTTACCAGAATGTTCTCTAAGATCAGAAGCTCTTGGAACTATTACCCAGCCCCAAGCTTACTAGCTGCCAGACTTTAATAAGGACTACTGGAAAAGCAAAACACCCTAGAGATGCACATACTTGAAGCCTGTCTATCCTTATTCACATATTGCAGCTTCTCATCTATTCAGGAGTCTGGAAACAGTCCTAAGGAATGCAGGCATTTGTAAAAAGTATGTAATGTCCTAACTAATGCCTTGATTTTAATTTATTTGCCTTCTCCATGGGAGAAGTAAGCTACACCTTTCAGAAGTGAGGCTTCTATGAGTCCTCTATGTCCCCTGCCTCAGGAAATCAATGAGGCCTGACTGATTCCTAAACTGAACTTTTGGAAGTAATGAACTAAATTTTAGAAATGGTGGGTGTCAGGGCTGCAAACACCCGCTTCTTCCATTCACTTGAAAATGGTACAAGTGCTCTATATTTGATCAGCTCTGCCAGGCTCTCCTGGATTCAAGATGTGGAAAACAAAAACTGCATTGGAAATTATTATTTAAAAAAAATATCCCTGGACTATGGGCTTTTGTGATTTAAGTAACAACCCGTCTTTGTGAAATGTTGTGAGAGCAGGCTCCACTCAGTCTCTGCTTGAACTTACTAAAGCCTTTCACTTGCCTGTTAGGAGGTTGGGAGGTTCTTCTGCAGAGACAAGGTGCGTGTCTCAGACTACTCAACACAGTGAACCAAAGTCAAGCTCTGAGTGAACAACCTGATTCCAGTCAAGGGTGGAAAGGCAACTGAATTGCTACACGTGCTAGCCCTATGGGACTGTCTCTTCTACTCAACACTAGTCCAAAACAAGCTACAGAACGCAACCAGGCAACTGAAGATGAATGGCATGCATCAAATAAGGACAATCCTCAGGAGATCCTTCTACTTCAGTGGTGTACTCGGAGGTTGACCAGTACATGTACCTCATGTGGAGTAAGCATTACTGCAGACCTCATCTGCTTCTCTTGACCACATGAACACGATGTAGCTATTTGAGTCTCAACATTTCTCCACAGCACCGATGAGGAAGAGATAAAACAGGGTGCTTTGGGAAAAGATGTTCTTGGAGAAAACTAGGGATTATTAAGTAGACCACAGGGAGCTGTTGCTGCTTCCTCAGGATTTTGGTGACTGTGCCATAGGACGTCCCTTCTTCCCTCTCCTTCCCTAAGAGAAAGTAAGCAAGCTCCAATTGCCCTGTAGGTAGCAGAGTAAATCTGATCTCGAGTACTTAAAATACCCTCAGCTTTGCAGCACTGAACGCTAATAAAATTGCTTCACAAAAGGCTGTTCCTTCAGAGCTCTATATTACTTGTTGGTGAATCTTTGCCCTACGTTTATGTAGTGCTTTTTTTTTTCCCATTGATGTCAACTTGCATATACAGTTTTCTACAAAAGACTTGAGGATCCAACTTCAAAGTCCTACCTTCTGTAGCTCTAGAGTACACAGAAGCAACTGTCGTATCGTAACAAGCACTTGTGATAAGCAAAGAGCTGCCACTAGTTGTTAATGATGTTCTCCTAGTTTATCAGTAAATTTGTGAAACTGTCTGGGATCATAAATAAATAAGATTCTGTTTCCACATAGGTTGTTCACTATCACTGTCATGACGGGTTGATTTTGCCCTGATACTTATTTCGGAGAGTGGGAATTATTCTCTTCAGATTATGAAAATAAAATATTTTCTGTGAAGTCCAGCATTGTCAGGATGGAGTGTTGAGACTGTAGCTTGGTGACTGCAAAATTTGCTGTTTGAAACTCCAGGATTTAGGCCCAAGAGATTTGTACATGAGCTCCTGGTGTTTGGCTGTTCTAGCTACAGTATGTTAAAGCTTCCTGCTCTGACTTGGTTTCAGCTACACAAGGGCTGGCCAGGAGAAGGGGGAAAGTGCTCTAAGGGAGAGACGGGTGCTGTGCCTTCTGATTAGAAATGGATGCTGAAGCACCTGGAAGAACATTTGCTGGCTCTTGGCTACGGGTGCCTTCCCTGTAATTTTCTGACACACAGGCTGCTCCAAACACTGTTCTGAGGTGCTTTCTCGTTTGTGTCTTGGGTACTAACCTGGAAGTAATGGATATCTGAAGAAAAAGGATGAATTGTAGGTGTACAATGCTGAACACGACAGTACACGAGAGATCCTTGGAGTGTTTGCCTCCTGTCTGAAGCCAAAGTAGCACTTTTTTGCTGTAGAGGACTCTAGAGCCAGTGGAAAAACAGGTTCTCTAACGGCAGGATCAGTAAAAGTATTACAGCTAAATCCATATCCTTTCAACTCCAGACAGGTAACACATTATATTGGATGCCATGTCAGTTAATTCTATTACTGGAATAAGTTCTTCATTTTGTGTAACAAAATTGCTCAAGACTGCATGTACAGCTACGATTTAAAGCACGGCACCAGAATAATCCAATCTGTTTTCTGCCTGGATCTGTTAAGACATTTACATCAAGCAGTTTGTCTTTCAAGCAGTGGAGGACTGATTTTAATCAGTTTAATCCTGCTAATGAGCCTAGCTGAAGAGCTGTATTTCTGCTTGTGCTTAAGTCTTTCATGTCAAAATCTTCACCTTATTTCTTTGTGGAAGAATTCAGAATAGATTCTTTTTAGGTCTTGGGTTTTCCTCCGCCATGCAAATGAAGTAGAATTAACTGCCTCAGTTGTTTGCACGTTTTGCATGTCGTGCATACAAGCTTTCAGTTTTTCACTTTAGCTTTTTGAAACTTCTCCAGTTCATAAAGTTTGTGTGAAAAAGAATTCTGCCTTTTACAGGCTTCAGCTCTCAGGACAGTTGTTTCTCAAAGAACATGGGAAGAAAAAGAAGCTCTGACATACTACGATTTTTATTCAAAATTTCCTCTTGAAATATTTTGTTGAAAACAAGAAGGCAAACTACTTTTTCTATGCAACCCTGCTTTAAGGCAGGGAGAACTATGTTACGAGCAGCTTTGGATTTTCACAAGATCTTGCTGTGAAGTGTGTTTCAGGATCGTGCCCAGTCACAACAACAGTGTATTGGGTTTGCCTGGCCAGATTTAGGTAGCAGAGGGGCTGTAGGGGCGGCTTCTGCAAGAAGCTGCTCGAAGCTTCCCATAGGTATGATAGAGCACCCCCCCCGGCCCAAAAGGCCGGCCCCGCCGCTGGCTGAGGCTGAGCCTGTCAGTGACGATAGGAATGTCTCTGTGAAAACATATTCAAGAGGCGGGGAAAAAGAACTGTGCAACAACAGCAGGCAGAGAGAGAGAGGAGAGAAAATATGTGAAGACACCAAGGTCAGTGAAGAAGGGGAGGGGAGGGTGATGTGCTTCAGGTGTCAGAGCTGAGATTCCTCTGGGATGTCGTGAAGACCATGGCGAGGCAGGCTGTCCCCCTGCAGCCCATGGAGGTGACGGGGTGTAGATGTCCACCTGTGGTCCATGGAGGACCCCACACTGGAGCAGGTGGATGCCTGAAGGGGGCTGTGACCCCGTCAGAAGCCTGCACTGGAGCTGTTTGCTGCTGGAGCCCGTAGCCCGTGGAGAGAGAGGAGCCCACGCCAGAGCAGGTGTGCTGACAGGACTTTGTGACCCCAGAGGGAAATCGCTCTGGAGCAGTTTCCCCTGAAGGACTGAGAGAGTCACGTTGGGGCAGTTTGTGAGGAACTGTCTCTCGCGAGAGGATTCACGTTGGAGAAAGCAGGTGAAGAACGTCTCCTGTCAGAGAGACCCCACAGTGGCCCAGGGGAAGAGTGAGG